GAACCCGCCACCCTAGGTGTACGTGGCTGGTGCCTTAGCCGGTTGAGCTATAGGCGCCGAGCCGAATGTGGCTAATCTTAAGAGTACTCTGTTATGTACGGATCAAAACTTTCACCTTTTTTCTTCTCTCTTCTAACATAGCATGATAGGAAAACAAAGTCAGTGACATATTTTTTTATTAAAGATGACCAAAAAGGTGTTTAATGTCATCAGGTTTGTGACTTAAAGGGAACAATGTCTTGGCATGTTTTGTTGTTATGGCTTAAATTTCCTTTTAAAAAATAACTTTCCATAAGCTAAGTTAGCATTTTCACAAATACTAGCATACTCACCAAATGAAGTACGAACATCAAAACAACATGATTAATGAAGAAGTTGAATATTTTATTATTTTGCTGCAAAGCTGCTGCTCACTGTATAAAAATAGCACCAGCAAATGCAGTGTATTACAAAATTAAGATAATATCACTGTACAACCAAGAAAAACTTCACTCCCAGTTAATTTCAATGGAAAGATCATTAAGTATTCCAACTCAAATCCTGGTATGGATGAAAGCAAGTTACAATATTATCTAAGGCTTAAGATAACAATGTTATCCTTTCATTACATAATTTTTATAACTCGTTTTTACCATGGATAATTTCCTGAAATATGAATACTAGAGGCCAGTCTGAAAATCATAGCGTATTTTGAAAAAGATGCATATTTTGTTTATCTACAACCATTAGAAAGTTAAGGACTATTTTCTTTCATTAGCAGTGTTGAGAGTAGTTGCTATTTTAAGTCACCTACCCAGCACTAATTAAAGACAACTATGCTGGATTAAGTTATTTCACACTAGTTTATTCAGGAGTTCCATTTTCACTCCTCAAGAGATTTTACGTATCTCTCATACGCTTCTTCACTCATTAGTTCATCTAGTTCTGAAGGGTTACTCAGGGTCATCTTGATCAGCCAACCTGCAAAAAAAAAAGTCATATTCCAAATCAACTTTTTAAAACCATAATTCATCCAAAATTTAAAATAAAATTGAGTGCCTCAAAATTAATCTAGTATTCTTTACATAAATTACATTATTTGTTAATGGAACTTCTTTTTTTTTGAGACAGAATCTCACTTTGTCACCCTCAGTAGAGTGTCATGGTGTCACAGCTCACAGCAACCTCAAATTCTTGGGTTCAAGTGATTCTCTTGCCTCAGTCCCCCAACTGGGACTACAGGCCCCTGCCACAACACCTGGCTATTTTTAGAGACAGGGTCTCGATCTTGCTCAGGCTGGTCTTCAACCTATAAGGCTCAGGCAATCCACCCACCTCGGCCCCCCAGAGTGCTAGGATTACAGGTATGAGCCACCAAGCCCCGCCTGCTAATGGAACTTTTAAATTTTAGCCTTAAGAATTACATTAGTGGCTCAGCTCCTATAGCTCAACCAGCTAAGGCGCCAGCCACGTACACCTAAGGTGGCGGGTTCGAATCCCCAGCCCGGACCCACCAAACAACAATGACGGCTGCAACCAAAAAATAGCCGGGTGTTGTGGCGGGCACCTGTGGTCCCAGCTACTTGGGA